TCACGCCACAGCTGCTTTTGCATTATAAAGCTCTCAGTGCTCTTGATGATAATGGTCTCTCCTGTCTTCTGCCTCTGTGTCTCCATCTGCGACACTGATTATCTCTCACAGCTATTATGCTGTGGCCTAATTAAAACACAACAAACCGCATGTTTTAGCGTCCGGATCGCATATTTCTTTTAACAAATACATAGTCAACGTCAGTTAAGCTCTGGGATCTCTGTGTGCAGGCAAAGTCACAATTGCTATTTAGTATGGGCAAGGCAAACATTTTTGAGAAAATTGAATGAGTTTTATTCATCGGGCAAATGGGAAAGCCTTGTGTTTGAGCCAAAGAACTCATTTATATTTGGTGAATACAGTGAGCCAAGCACTGAGTAGTCTACTGGCACCACTACCATCAGTACCGATTTTTGCTTCTCAAGTTTACCTTGAATTTTCGAGTTGGAACAAAAGGACCTCTTTCTTAAAAGCTGCAGCACATGAATAATGGATTGCATTAACACAGAAGCGACTGATGTGAATTTGCGAATGTGCCCAGTGATAAGATATTCAGATATCCGTAGCCACTCGCATAACAGTTCTTTTACCTCCTGGGCAAAAGTAGATAGAGAGACCCTTTTACAGCATCAGATGGCTGGCTCTCCATCACGATTTGTTTTGTGTCCTGTAATCTTTCAGCAACAGCCGGCTATTCCTGGAGGTGAAACATCAACCCAAAGAAACACTGAAGGGATGCGTTTCATAAATATGAATTATGGAGACAAAGGAAGGAAAAGCATTTCTATGTAACCCGAAGGAAACTGTTAAAGGACTCTATAGCACAAAAACTGAATAGATATCAAATTCAAACAACATTAGGCCTTTGAACTTCTTTTTAAAAAAACAAACAAATAATACAAAACTAGATAGCAGCCACTTCCTCACACTTTCAAGCATCCAGAATGCACTCACAGACCCTAAGTACATGTGCATAGATCTCTCTTATCTTTAGTTAATAGTCAGTCATCACACATTTCTGGCAGCTTAGCTCATCTTGTTCATTTAAAGGCAGTAGCACACCTTAACCACCAGGTGGCATTGCAGACCCACAATAAATGATGGTGAGAGTTGGAAACAGCATCATAACTTTCACCCATCATAGGTGAAAGTTATGAACTGGTTAGCTGTGAAAAGTACAGTTTGTTCAAGTACTGAACAATGTTTATTTCTATTTATGCCTTTATGGTATTTTCAGAGAAAAACTCTTTGACTTAGATTAATTTTTGAGTGAATGTGAATCATGATCACATGATCATATGATGCACAGAGCTGATGAACATGAACTTCACACTGTTATGACATTGTGCAGTAAAGAAAACAAACATCATTAGCCTGCTTTTACTTGAAGGGATAGTTTGAGATTTTGTTTGGCAATGAGTTATTGTTATTGTTTGTGTCTAATATGATGTTATGATCGTGAGAGGATTGTTGTTGTAGTTGGATGGCTATCTTCAGACTCTGTCTCCCATGGCCACCAGCTCATTCTTTGCATCAGAAATCAAATTCTCTAAAATGTCAAACCGTTGTTGCAAATAAGAAAGGGACTGACAGTAACATTTCCACTTCAGTGATAAATAAATAATCTCCCAGTTATGATCCTGAAATACCTACAACAGAAAACAAAAACAATGATCAGATTTGATTCACACATGCCTGACTAATGATGATTTGGTACGCAGTCAGCAGAATGCAGCTACATCACAGCGAGCATGATCTTGCACATTACTAGAATCAATATTCGTTAAATGCAAGCTTGTAGGCCTGGATGTGTTCTTCAGGGGAGTAATTACAAATTTTTTTTGCCCACCTGCAAATTGTGTGATTTTACCTCTTGACCCCTCTGCCGTGATGAGTGATGATCTGTCGCGGTCTCCCACCTGAACCGAAACACTTCACTTACCCGGTGGTGCAGCGTAATAGCACAGAGAAAATCAATACAGAGGTGACAGTGAATTAAAGCCACTGGATAAGGACACTGATATAAAACCTTTGCAAGGATGCTGGGATTATCCCAAGAAAGCCAACTGGCTAAAGACTGCGACAACTCAGGAAGCCTAAAACCAAGATAACTGCTGATCCTTTTACACTGTCTTGCTTTTTATCCATACATCCTGTGGACAATCTAGCCACGGTGTGGAAAGTAGCTCTTTTCCTACACGCCTTTCAGCTCTTGTTGCTGAACAGGCCTTCTGGGAAGGTTATCCACACAGTGATATAAACAGCTGCATTGCCTACTCTGCTAATATCTCAGTAATCCATCCTTCTTTTACTCAAGCCTGTGCAGCTTTCCTGGGAAAACAATCAGTATCACTGTAATCTGGACTAGTGATGAGCAACTGCCTCAGCTGGTTTGCTCATCCTTTTTTGTCTGCGGGGCCTAAAAACACCACAGGGATGAGAGGAAGAGCGCTAATCAAAAAGAGTTAAATCATGCCTGCGTCAGTTTGATAATCCACAGTGGATTTCCATGCAGATGGAGATAGAAGTAGACAGTAGAGGACTTTTTTCCCCCTCCTCTCCCTCTGAGAGGCACTTCACACACACGCACATACAACTCTACCTCAGCTCATGTTACAGGTGTTATCCCCTAGGAAAATTGTTGCTGGTGGGTTCCCGCCTTTCTCTCTGTCTACGTAGCAATGTAGACCGAGAGGTATAATGGAAAAGCAATGCTGAACAGCGTGAACCTTCAGCTCCTTTCCTTCTTGATGAGAAAATCATGTTGATGCAGGTAGACAACAGAGAGTGAGAAGGAAGCAGCGACAGCCCTTTCCCCTGCTACGCTGATCACAGAGTTCACCTGCAAGTCAATTTGAATAGAGACGCACTGTGTAATACAAATCTCAGAGACATAAATGAGCTTAAAAACATGTAATATGGTACAGATATGCTGCTGTCAGACATTAGATAGCTCCGAGTCATGCTGCCAGTATTTTTGGAACTACCACAGATGACACAATATTGCACAATATTGCACTATGGAGATATTAAAGTCACCTTTTATATATTTGAAAATTTTATATCCTTATACTGCCATAACAGGTTTTCTTTGGTGCCTGCAGGACTCAATAACATGTTTAGTATTATCTTATTGCACTTTATGGGATTATGTTTTATCTTTTATTACATTACTATGTTCACGTGGTTCCAGGTATCTGGATATTGACACTCTGTGTAGCTTTTTTTTTTTACCCTTTCTCTTTATGAATATTACTAGGCGTAAGGAAAGGTAAGGCATAAATGAATAATGTGCTGCATGTATGTGTTAGTTTTCTGGTGGTGGTACTGATTGGCACTTGGCTTGTTCAATGATATACTGGGGTTTTTCCTGCACAAACACCTCTAAGATTAAGAGAGAAAATATAGTTCCCAATGGGAATCAATTCCTTGGGCAAAAACTGTATTCAGAAGTAAAGATGTTATCAGAGTATTGTCCTGACTATGCCCATCCCTTTATGACCACAGTATACCCATCTTTTTTGGCTGCTTCCAGCAGGCTTACATCCCATGTCACACAGCTCAGATCATCTCAAGCTGGTGTCTTGAACATTGTGGTTTGTTCACTGTACTCAAATGATCCCCACACTCACCAGCTCTCACCACATCCCAAAGGTGCTCTTTGGGATGTGGTGTAATGGGAGTGTTTAATGAGAAACAAATCTGCAACAAGTATTTGATGCTGTCATGTCAATATGGAGCAAAATCTCGGAGTAATGATTACAGCACCTTTCTTAAGCTACACCATTAATTAAGGCAGCCCTGAAGGCAAAAAGGGGGTTCAACCCACAAATTATCAAGGCATACCCAATAAAGTCCCTGGCAAACTTATATTTAATATGTAAAACCTCCAACGTTTCTGTACAAGGCTTAGCAGAAGCAAAAATGACACATTTCTCACTGAAATAATGAAATCAATTTGTTAATTACAGTAAATTTGTTGGTTTTCTTTTCATTTTTATGCAATTGCTGGTTGATTCAATATAGAACACTTACAGTGTAAAATGGGAGTTTAAAGGTGAAAAGGAGCTATTTATGAAAGAAACAAGGCTTTAGAGTATTAATGTATTAATGGCTTATAAGTGTGCTTTCCTCCTAATCATTAACAGTCAGGGTTATCTGTTCACTTGTTTAACTTTCTTTATTATATGCATTTTAAGGAGGACATAATTATAACACATTACAATAATATTATAATTAGATATGATGGCATAAATAACTCTAGCAAATGAGTGCCTAACACAACTTGATCTTTATTATTATTAGATATAATAAATAGATTTCAGTTCAATGTATCCCGTGAATGAGGTGTTTTATTTTTTAAAAAAAATCTGACTCTTCACTATGATTTGTTCATATGCGAGAGCATTGATTGGCTGTTAGCTAATCAGCGGTACAAACATATAATAAACAGAAAATACATTAAACAAAGATGAAAAAGCATCATTGGCTTCTGGGCTATAAAGAATAAATATAAAAGAAAATTTACATGAGATTTGTGTGTGTGATGGGCCTAAGTTTGCCACATTAGGTTCAACATAGATGGGAATAATTAATTAGGCTTAAGGATATGGGGATTTTTCTCTCAGGTTAAAACTCTGGACATGTTAAAATAGCATAATTAAAACAAACCAACAAATTAAAAAAAACAAAACAAAAAATAACTGCGTCACATACACAGCAGAACACTTATTGTGGAGGTGATGATGAAACTGATCTAGTAAAGCAAAATCCGAGTTTAACTGGAAATCACTCTAAAACCTTTATTGGTTTTCCCTCTTATTAGAACTTTTGTCTTAGTTTTACTTTTTCTTGGAATATTACTTTCAAAATTAGCATGTATTTTTAGAACGGCCCCACGGGAGTCCCTGGTTTGAAAAAAAAAAATGTTCGTGGCTCCGGTGCGTCAGCATGTGACTTCACTGGGCTGGAAGGAGCAGAGATGCTCTGCAGGAAGCTCCCAGTCATGACTGTGTGAGCGGTGAGACGAGAGCGATGCGTGGAGCGTGCCTGCAGTACCTCCTCTCCTCTGGCTGCAAACTTCAGACCTCTTTATGATGTGTGAAGGGAAAAGCGCGCTGGAGTTTGATTTGATGGCTTTTCGATATCACAAAGTGGAATGGATTTCGCTGAGAAGAACAGACAGTTTGACTGGATCCTGTGCGGATGAAATTAAGTTTTTAAAGGATTTATAGAAAGGGGCTCTTGGTGGATACAGTTCGTACTGTGGCCCTGCAGAGATTTTTCACTGTGTAATGCATGTTTCTGAAAGCTCGGTGTAATTTTCTTAAAACTCCAAAGAGCGACAGCTTCCTCTTGTCATGAAAAATCTCACCATGGATAACATGACTGTGGAAAATGACACTTCGGTGCACGACAACCAGACCCTTGGAGTGTGGACTGACTATTCATTTGAATACAAGGTGGCCAGCGTGTTTTTGGTGACTCTAATATGTGGGGTTGGGATCGTGGGGAATGTGATGGTCATACTGGTAGTCCTGACCACCAAACACATGCGGACTCCCACTAACTGTTACCTTGTGAGCCTGGCGGCGGCTGACCTAATGGTCCTTACGGCCGCCGGGCTGCCCAACATCACCGACGCCCTGCACGGGCAGTGGGTGTACGGCTACGCAGGCTGCTTGGGCATCACTTATTTCCAGTACCTGGGGATAAACGCGTCCTCCTGCTCCATAACCGCCTTCACAGTGGAGCGCTACATCGCCATCTGCCACCCTATTAAAGCGCAATTCTTGTGCACTCTATCCAGGGCTAAGAAAATCATCATGCTGGTGTGGGCGCTCACCTCTGTTTACTGCATCATGTGGCTCTTTCTGTCAGACACTAAAAAGTTGATCTATGACAACGTGGTGCTGCTCACCTGCGCCTACAAGGTGTCCAGGAGTCACTACCTGCCCATCTACTTCACGGATTTCACGGTGTTTTACGTGCTCCCTCTCATGCTGGCCACGGTTCTGTACGGACTGATCGCCAGGATACTTTTCATCAATCCACTGCCTTCGGATCCGAAGGACAGCACCAAGAAGTGGAAGAAGGAGACGACTCAGGGAGGGAGGATGATTAGCACCAGCTCCTCCAGCAGCACCACGGCTGCCTCCCGCAGACAGGTAGCTCATTATCGTCACCATCATCCCTGTAGCACTTTTTCTGCGTGAGTTGGGTTGCGGAGGGACTGTATTTCGTTCCAATTAAAAACAAGTTAAATGTTTCATTTCCAGCAGATTTATTCTGCTTCTCTGCTTTTTCTTCTTCTTCTTCTTCTTTTTTTTTTAAAAAAAATCCAGATAGATATTCAGACAATGAAATGTAGCCCTGCGTTCAGTTGCTAGTCTAAGTTTATGGTGACAGGAAAAAACCTGTCTGTTTGGGATTTGGAAGATTTGTACCGCATGAAACAGAATGAGAACACCCAACCTGGGTTCCTTGGCTTATAAGCGTTTCTTTAAAAAGAAAGAACGCTTTTTAAAAAGCCGTTTCTTTAGTGAAAGATCCACAGCTTCGTGGATTACAGACATTGAGAGAAATTAGAATATGTCTTCTCGTCCTTATCTCCGTGTGAGGGGGGTAAAATTTTAAAAATCCTGCAAAAAACAAAAAAATCTCAAAAATCCTTAACTGCAATTCCATCAATGCTGCACCCATATCAGAGGGGGGGCTACATTCTTAATGGTTGTATTTCAGGCCGACATTGCAGGCACACACGTGTCTGCAGTCACGGTGCATGAGTAGTTGGTGGATTGTTGCGTTTCAGACACGTTTGCAGGGTGAGACCTCACCCTCTCGTGACGAATTTTCACTCGGACCCAAGCAGACCATGCAAATGCCTAAACTATACTGTCCCTCTAGCACAACAGGGAGGGCCTGTCTTAGTAAGGGGGTTTATGGAGGGGTTTAGGACAAATTCATATACCTAAACGCAGCTTCTGTTAATCTTATTTTATTTCTGAAAACTTTCCATTAAGCTTTAGTTCCTAAAGTACTGGTAAGTGAGCCTGGTGGAGTGTAAAACCAGCCAGTTCATTTCCCTCCCTTTCTTTCTTTCTTTCTTTCTTTCTTTCTTTCTTTCTTTCTTTCTTTCTTTCTTTCTTTCTTTCTTTCTTTCTTTCTTTCTTTCTTTGTGGAACAGAGGAGATTCTATAGTTGAGGACTGAAGAAGAAGCAGAAATTTTGAGATAGTCCATCCTAAATATAGGCCAAAAAATGAATTATCTTATCTTATCTATGTCTTTTGTTAAACACACGGCCACATGCAGTACTGCTAAACAGTCTAAAACAATTTCACCATCTATCTTCTGTTTAGTTTTTTCTTTTTAACATTTTAAAAACAGTTTTATGAATAAAACCTAATCCTCTAAAGGTAAGGACACCATGCCAGACACCTAGGTAGGCTGCAGGGAGAGATGTTTGTTTATCAGATCAGGGGAAGAAGCCTTCCTGGAATGACAAGGGGGTGTGGTAACCCTGAAGGAGCTCCATGCTCTGCTGGGTAGTCAGATCAGTTAACCCTAACTCAAATAGACTTTTAGGCCTTTTCTCCATCGGTGGGGTTTTTATTCTAACACATTTCTGCCAAAGCACAGCCACATTTGCTTGTTATCGTCAGCATTCACAACTCAACACAGACACAACCAACAACCCCTCCCTCCTACCACATACCTTACCGAGTTACCTAAATGTCAACAGCAGCTAAGATTAGGCACTCCACTTGCTGATGGCACTTGCTCTGCCCCTATCCAAGTCAATTAGACTCACCTCACTGCAGCTGAGACAACATGTCATGAATATGGATATGGTTTGATTACATGCACGTTTAAACATCAAGATTTTTACCCGGCAACTAAATTAATAAATCCAATCTTTGTAAAGTTGTGATTAACGATTTGATCCAGTTACTTAATAAATTATATAAACATTAAATAGGTGTTCAAATAGGTCACTAATATTGACGAGAGACTTTCAAGCTGGAAAGATTTTTATCTCATCAAATCTTTTCATTTTTTTAACTGGATAGTTTGGTATGAGCCACTGATGTGCAGCATCAATGTTGCTTTGATTAAGTGATGCACCAATTGAGCAACAAGCTGATCAGCAGTACAGGGAGTGCAGAATTATTAGGCAAGTTGTATTTATGAGGAATAATTTTATTATTGAACAACAACCATGTTCTCAATGAACCCAAAAAACTCATTAATATCAAAGCTGAATGTTTTTGGAAGTAGTTTTTAGTTTGTTTTTAGTTTTAGCTATTTTAGGGGGATATCTGTGTGTGCAGGTGACTATTACTGTGCATAATTATTAGGCAACTTAACAAAAAACAAATATATACCCATTTCAATTATTTATTTTTACCAGTGAAACCAATATAACATCTCCACATTCACAAATATACATTTCTGACATTCAAAAACAAAACAAAAACAAATCAGCGACCAATATAGCCACCTTTCTTTGCAAGGACACTCAAAAGCCTGCCATCCATGGATTCTGTCAGTGTTTTGATCTGTTCACCATCAACATTGCGTGCAGCAGCAACCACAGCCTCCCAGACACTGTTCAGAGAGGTGTACTGTTTTCCCTCCTTGTAAATCTCACATTTGATGATGGACCACAGGTTCTCAATGGGGTTCAGATCAGGTGAACAAGGAGGCCATGTCATTAGTTTTTCTTCTTTTATACCCTTTCTTGCCAGCCACGCTGTGGAGTACTTGGACGCGTGTGATGGAGCATTGTCCTGCATGAAAATCATGTTTTTCTTGAAGGATGCAGACTTCTTCCTGTACCACTGCTTGAAGAAGGTGTCTTCCAGAAACTGGCAGTAGGACTGGGAGTTGAGCTTGACTCCATCCTCAACCCGAAAAGGCCCCACAAGCTCATCTTTGATGATACCAGCCCAAACCAGTACTCCACCTCCACCTTGCTGGCGTCTGAGTCGGACTGGAGCTCTCTGCCCTTTACCAATCCAGCCACGGGCCCATCCATCTGGCCCATCAAGACTCACTCTCATTTCATCAGTCCATAAAACCTTAGAAAAACCAGTCTTGAGATATTTCTTGGCCCAGTCTTGACGTTTCAGCTTGTGTGTCTTGTTCAGTGGTGGTCGTCTTTCAGCCTTTCTTACCTTGGCCATGTCTCTGAGTATTGCACACCTTGTGCTTTTGGGCACTCCAGTGATGTTGCAGCTCTGAAATATGGCCAAACTGGTGGCAAGTGGCATCTTGGCAGCTGCACGCTTGACTTTTCTCAGTTCATGGGCAGTTATTTTGCACCTTGGTTTTTCCACACGCTTCTTGCGACCCTGTTGACTATTTTGAATGAAACGCTTGATTGTTCGATGATCACGCTTCAGAAGCTTTGCAATTTTGAGACTGCTGCATCCCTCTGCAAGATATCTCACTATTTTTGACTTTTCTGAGCCTGTCAAGTCCTTCTTTTGACCCATTTTGCCAAAGGAAAGGACAGTTGCCTAATAATTATGCACACCTGATATAGGGTGTTGATGTCATTAGACCACACCCCTTCTCATTACAGAGATGCACATCACCTAATATGCTTAATTGGTAGTAGGCTTTCGAGCCTATACAGCTTGGAGTAAGACAACATGCATGAAGAGGATGATGTGGACAAAATACTCATTTGCCTAATAATTCTGCACTCCCTGTATATACTTGTCCCTCTTTCCCATGTTAGAATCATGGTAAAAACTATCCAGTCCCTGAGGGGTGTGCTTATGTGGCACACCCAAATTTTGTATAAATCCGCTGTAAAAAGGACCCATTTTCACTTTTGTTTTTTCTGATGTCATTATCCTCGGGTGACATAGGAACACACTGTACATGTAAACCTAATAAGCTTGCTTCATAGTACACCCATCTGGTGTGTGCTGCTAATTCAGGTGATTTTTGTACAATGCGAGTGACTCCACCCTAAAACACTTACCAGATAAATAATTGGCAAAACCCCAGTGCAGCAGTAAAAAGGTCAATCCACGCCTCGGTGTATGTGTAGCCATGTTATTTGTTGCAATGTTCGAGCAGACCTGCTGGCATTTTCACAGCTTTTACGATCAACAAAGTTCTCAATTCAAATTATACCCCTAGTATATACAAGTGCAATCAGGTGAACGAAGAAGAGTTTTTGGCTTGAAACAGGTGATTTTCTGGTACTATAGCATGCTGTATTATAAGTTAGACCATTTTTGGCAACCTTTTCATGAAAATGTCCAAAGGTTGTGACAGTGTCTTGGTTTGCTGGTTCCAGATTATCAAAGTTGAGCACAAAGGTCTAAAGACAAAAGCAGAGTTCTGTATTTGATAGGGACTCAGAATTTCCAATCACCAAACTGGAAAAGTCGAAGAAAACACCCACTTGATAACTTGGACACATTTACTCAGCTCTGACATTCAAATTTTGTTCATAACCACTATGGTCAAAGGAAACTCTTATTACTGTCCACAGTAATCCATGTTTGACAGTAAGGCTCAGCGCTGGCACCTTCCTGCCTTTGCATTTGCATGCGTGAAAAGCTTTAGGCTGAGAGGTGCAGCATGACCCCTAAGAACACAGATCCGAGCAGGCATCAATGGCATGACATTGATGAAGTCAGACACAGCATAAAAATGAGGAGCTGAGCTGGCGGTGGGTCACGTTGTATATGAGATTTGCAAGTGGGAAACACAGAAGTGTATCAGCTGAACCACCAGCTGTTTGCTTAGCTGTTATCAGCTCATATTGATACTGATATAAATAAATGGTCGTGACAAGTTTAAATTTTTTTAAAACAAGGTTTTTTGAAATTTAGTGTGGGGCAGCTTTCCTCTTCTGAGCTCAATATTGTTGTCTTTAAATATTGTAGTAATGCTCCACCATGTGGTAGCAGGTGAATGATGACCCCATATATGCTGCAGTTTTAAATCTTTGAACCCTGGTCAGAAGTTTTGTCATGAGTTTTTAAATCATGGCGGGCTGTTTTTAAGGACATTTTTTGTGCCATGAAAGCACATGTTAAGCTTTTTTGTTTGCCATTTCAGGCTGTACCCATTGTAAAGAGATTAAATAACCAACACAGTGGCTGGGTGGAGGTGGCTTAAAGGCGGGAGAACAAAGGTTCATAAGGTCAGGAGGTAAACTGCTTATCCCCGCCTCAGGATTTGATTTTACCTTTTTTTTTTCTTTAGAATTTTATATTTTGCCTATTCAATTTGGCAACACCACCAATTTTCAAATTATTCCAGTGCCTTCACATGAACCTTGAAATTAAAAAAAACAACAACTTAGATTATCTGGTCAGTTGGTGACACCTGTGGTCACTAATAAGGATTTGTTTTGTTGTTGCTGTTGTTTTGTGTAGAGGTATTTTAACACATTGTACTGTGCTCTGACATCTGAAACAAATGGGCTGTTTCACAGGAAAAGCCACTTCACCAGCTGAATGTTTCCAACGAGAAGCAGAAGTGTTTGATGTTCTGCAGCTGTATAATAGGGATGTTGATAGGCTGACCACACTGAGAACAAATTTGTAGATGAACTACAGAGTTGCATACATTAAATAAATTAAATCCCAAAGGAATCACAGTCAAAACTATGCAGAGTGTTAGTTACAGACAAAAACTAATATTAGCAAAAAAAAAAAGTTATGGGTGAAATTTCATACACCACATAAAGATGTTTTTTCATTTAAATGTGGGGAGGGCGCAGCTGCATGTAAAGACAATGTCGATGCATGATCGGGTGTTGGTTTTGTGCATGCTGGCTCATAGCTTACTGGGTAAAAAGCTGTTGAACAACCCTGTGCAGTAGTGCAATGTGTTGGGCTTCATTTACACCTGACGAGCATTTAAAAACTTTTTATTATGCTGTCCGAAACAGGTTTGTCTTGTAAATGAGTCATTGAATCTCAGTGAGATTACCTATAAAAATAAAAGTTCAATAAAAAAAAAGCTTCTTTAACACATGAATGAATTTTTTTCCCAGGTGACAAAGATGCTCGCTGTGGTGGTGATCCTGTTCGCCTTACTTTGGATGCCCTATCGTACCTTGGTGGTGGTCAACTCTTTCCTGGACAAGCCCTACCTGGACACCTGGTTCCTGCTCTTCTGCCGTCTCTGCATCTACCTAAACAGCGCCATCAACCCCATCATCTACAACGCCATGTCTCAGAAGTTTCGTGCCGCTTTTAAGAAATTGTGTCACTGTGGCCCTCAGCGCATGGAGAAGCCTGCTTCCTACAGCGTGGCCCTCACCTACAGTGTCATCAAGGAAACGTCCAACGGGGAAAGTCCTGACCACTTCACCACAGTTATGGATGAGCTCCACACACCGTCTGCTCAGTACCTACCTGCCAGCATCCTGCCAAATGCCAAAAAGATGGTATATGAAGAGCCTTCTCCGTCGAGCAGGGATGTCAAGGCCTGACTAGAAACAACCTTTCCACCTGAAGGTGGTATCAGAGATTCTGACAGCTCCAGTATTGATTCTGACATGTATTGAATATACAGGTTCCAGCTTTATTTCTCAAGATTTTTTCCTCTTGTAAATGTTTGTTTTATTTGACAACAACATTTGCCAGAAGACAAATAGGATGAGCTGCCCTGTGCTGTAGGCTTTCTTGCATTTTTGTGTGAAATGCAAGAAGAGAGAAAATATCATAAAATAGGAAGTCTTAATTATTAATGCAGGAAGTGATCCTCCTCAGCCCTATGATGTAATACAAAATCACCTTTTCTATTAACTTTACCATAAGCTTTATAGTATAAACTTGCATGGCACCGATTTGTTATAAGTTGCTGTATAGCTGTATGACAAATTTGTCGGAAGTAGGGTGCCTTCTCATCTCATCTTTCTCCCACTAAACAAAACCAGACTGTTGAATAAGACATTAAAGTAGTAGTCACACTCAAAAGGAAATTTCATTAGTGGATGTCATAGGTCTTTGTGATAATAGCCTTGCCGTTAGAGACCTTTACAGCAAGTTTAAAATGATTTAGCTGTCTCGCTTAACTCTTTGTTTGTTCCCATTAGTCTGATAGTGCCACTCTCAGCTACAGCAGGCAGCTGTTTTCAACAAACAGCTCTCGCTCCATCCAGTACGAAACAGCAGACAGACAGATTTAGCAAACACTGCTGTGGATGTTGAGCAGATCAGATATTCCCCCGGGAGTCCCCATTTGGTCGAACATTTCATATTTAAATTCAATTTGCCAGCTGATCAGAAACATTTTCACTGCAAGTGAACAAAAAAAGGAGAAACTCCAGAGTGTGCCTGAAACACAGCTTAATCCCTAGTCCATTCCCTCATTATCAAACAATACTTGTTAACTTGGGTTTGCAGGCTGCTGGCGCCTATCCCAGCTATCATATGGTGAAAGGCAGGGTGCACCCTGGGAAGTTCGCCAGTTGCAAAGCAATCACACGGAGACAGACCACCATCCACGCTCACCTTTACAGCTAAGAGCAATTTAGAATCACCTGTTAGCACAACACACGTCCTAGAGGAGTACCCACAGTGACTCCATAGAGGCACAGCGAGAACATACAGTGGATTCAAACCTGGGAACTGGCTGTGTGATGAGACCTTGTTTATGTACAACTGTTCTTCATATTTATGGCTGATGTGACTGTTGAGCGATCACTTTCTATTCGCTTGACTCTGCCCAGCTTCCTCTCCCTGTTCTGGGAATGGAGCTCTTATTTTCCTTTGACCTAAAGTGGTTAGTAACAGTCAGACGATTACTTTTATCACCACAAGTATGCCATAAGCATACCACGTTGCACACTGACAACTAATCATAGTAGTATTCTGTTACATCGACAGTTCGGTTGATGACTTTCTGTCAGTCTAATGACATTTTGATATAATTTCATTCTCTGGCCAGGTGTGTGTTAGCATGGAGCAGGTGCCCATGTTGTATTATTCCTTTTGTTAATCTTATTCACAACACACGGCAACATTCATGAGTAGACCAAGAGGATGTGAACCCTCTACCATGACATGCTGTCACACTGGACTATAGTTGAAATAGCAACACACTAAACACACTAAAATAAAGATAAATTATTTCAGTGGGGTGGACAACTAGATGCTAGCGCAGGTGTTCAAGAGTTTACAGTGAACCTATAAATGAGGTTTATTTAGATGCGTCCCAGCAGATTCCTGGGTTCAAGTTTTCATTTTATTTATCATCAAGCATTTTATAAAGTTTATCTGTAATGTAACTAAGTGCTTTTGCTGTAAAGTAACATTTTACTTTCTTTTATGTTTACATTTTTGAGTGTTCTGTACAATATTCGACTTTTGTTTTGTTTCTGTGCTTGGACTGCATACACTGTATCACCTGTACATCAAAGCCTCTCATTTCTCAGTCGTTAAAATGTTCTGTCATGATAAATATTTATATTGTCTGCATTACTCAGCCCCATAGGATATCGTTTTACCAACCCTACCATACACAAAAGCAAATACAAAACTCTTTTTCCGTTGCTAATGTACCACTAGAAGGCTAGTACAGGATTTTACATAAATCCAATGCACATGACATTTTAGTCTTGCTACAGCACTACAGGGAAAACACAGATGTGGAATTATGTGACCTTTTAAAAATAGGTCTAAATATGAGAACAACTTTATCTTGCTTTCTCAATTTAAAATCCACTGATGTCTAACGATTTCTCTGTGGATTTCAAACTAAACAGTGACAAACACTAAAGTCTTCTGTTGGCTACTGTGACTATGACAGCTGTGGAATCAGAGCCCGTGGGGGGTGAGTGGCCGGTGTATCATAATGAGAAGAGAAGAATGTGTAGCTCTGATGTGCAGAAAGAGAGGCTGTTTGTTAAAGGGTCTGGTAACAGTCGTGACAGTAATTCACTGAAACTGCAGATTGCAGCACTTTTGTGGGATTTATCCGCTCAGCAAAACCCAACAGAGCAATGATGGAAGGTGTAAATAGATCGCAACGACGTGCCATACTTGAGCTGGCGCAATCCACACTGTGTATATTGCTCACACCCCGCTATTAAAGGATGAATTTTCTAGTGTTTCTTTGAGCTACGTGTACAGTGTGTGTAAACTGAAGACGGCTCAAGGGGATAAATAAGTAAGGAGCTCAGTGAGAAGGGCCTTTTTTGTGTTAATCTAAAGGCTTTTTTCTGTCAATATTGTGAAGTTGCTTGAAATTGATTGTGCAGTGCAATGTGAAATTCAATTGGTATTGTGTTTTCAAACATGTGGCAGCAAAATGGAATTTGTATTTTTCTTTTTTTTTTTTGAAATAATAGCTCATTTTGATCTATTGTTCCATCAGTGTGTTTGCCATCATTTCACAACAGCGGGTGGGGGCTGAACTCCAAAGTGGAAGAAAAAGACCGTGGTTTGTAGTAGTTGTAGCGTAAAGTACCTCTTATTCGTACAAGTTTCAATTTCTTCCTTTGTTCTCGGTTGAAACATATTTCTTTGACAAACAGCTGCGATGGAGATTTTTTGTTCTGCACGGTGCACTGTCTGCAGCATGAACTCAGGCTTTTGTGAAGTGCTACCTGATGAGTTTCCATCTGATGCAGTGTGGGGTTTTTTGTGCACTTTTCTTTCTGCAGGTGGCTTTTCTCTGCTTTATCAGTTTGATGGCTTGTTTTGTATTTTGTAACCTTCTTTGTCAATAATAAACACAGATGATAATTACACGACGCTGGAGATGGTGCATTATTGCTACGTCGATATACGCTCTTTTGTTCCCGATTCTCTACAGCTCCACCACTTCTGATCTATTACCAGCAGCCATTGAAGAAACTGCCTCATCCAAGATGCCCTTATGAATCAGGCACAGATAGCTCTGCGAGCTGCGATCACACCGAGGACATCAATCACAGGTGTTGATTGCTTTGTTCTGAAACCACTCAGCATGTGGTGGCCTCGTCTCCTCTCGCTGAAGACTATCAGAACCCAAATGTGCTCAAAACAAATAATGTGACAACCGTGTGAAATTTCTGTTTACTGTAGGTAATGTCACTAAATATCTGATCCATCAAAGCTCCCTCAATTTTGTTAAGTGATAATGCCACCACTGGAGTCACACAGTAATTTCCCATGCACTGTGATGGAGCTGGAAAGAGCTTAATGTGCCAGGAGAGAATGTCCCTGGAACACGAAGGCACTGTTTGCCGACTGCATTTCATCAGCTGCACGCACTCTAGCTGTAATCTGACTGGCACACAATTGTTTTCACAAATGCATGTGAAGACACAGATTTTATTTTAATCCCCCTACTGTTTGTTGCTCTGTGTCTAATTTGTAAACTTATTTGGAAAGCTTTCCGCTTGTGGTGGAACTTGAATAATGAAAAAAAAAGGTCTTTTCAGCAACTCCCTTATTCAGAAAGCTCTGCATATTTGAGTTGGCAGGTTTTATACTGGATGCCATTCCTGAAACAACCTTAAAGGGATTTGCGTCTTCTCAAAATAGCGATCTTTCACATCTTAAGTGAATGTGAAAAATGCTAAACCATGGAGCTACTAAAAGTAAGAATAATATTATCCATCAAATTCATCTGTAGCTTTCATTATTGTATCTTTTTTGATGAATAAAATTACATTCGGGTGGAAGCAGAGAGTGTTCTAACTGGACAAGCAGGAGGATGACAACTGATGCGTGAATTTTGAGATGTCTACCAGCTCATCCCTGCTTGTTATTTTATCACTGCTCCAGCTGGCTGTTCTTGTCAGGCTAAAATGACCCTCTGGCCACTGGTAAATGTCCCAGTGCTCCAGATAGGCAGTCTGCCACAGAATGTTTTAAACTATGGACTCAGGCTCACGTTCTTCAGTATGCAGATCTATTCCTTTTTAGCCTGACTTGTCAAACTGACTTGCTTTTCTTTTTTGATTGTTACCTGCAACGTGTTCTAACTAGAAACTGCAACTAAATATTTTTGGGAACGGGAGTATAAATATAAGCTAAACAGAATCAAACAAAGTGTGTCTCAAAGCTATAACTCTTTCCTTTCTTCAGTTTCTTTTAATGCTAAAAAAAAAAAAACCCAAGCAAACTAAAATGCAGCACTGCAAACCATGTGAGAAGTTCACACTGCTTATTGCTCAGATGTTCTGGGGGCAGTAAATAAGGAGAAGGAAAGTCTTGTGTTTCTGAATATTGCATATATCTGTGATTGACCTCTGCTCCTTTCCAGGTCATCTGCTACTTCAGCTAGTATACTGGCTCACAGGTGTGAAAGATTACCTAAAACTAATACTGAGATCAGATTATGGAAAGTATGTATGTGTAACAATTATTTTCCCCTATCACACTCTGTCCAAAAGAAAAAAATGCATATGACTTTAGCAATGTAAGCATTGTGGCCTTACAGTGATAGTGCCTCTGTTCCAGACTGCATAGTGCTGATATTTCTCTAAGGGTGGATTGTCTTAAAATTTTGGGCATGAATCTCAGAGGATAAATCGAGATGGCTTTGATGATCACTGGTCTTTTTTATCTTGTGCTGCCCTGAGGTTCAAGTATGTGGCTCTTTGTGAAATGTCCTGACAGCTATTGAATGAATTTCCATAAACTTTCCAACAGATATTCATGCCTACTTAGGATAAATTATTAGCACTTCAGCTCAGAATTATAGCTTGTTCAATAATTCAGCTCATGATCTACTCCAATGAGTGAACATGGCAAATAATTACCAAACATTAGCATGTTAAAGATGAGAACATGCCACACAGATTTGAACAGTTGTCTGTACCTAAGTACGGCTTCATAGCACAACCTTTAATCTTTATTCCTGCTTCTTTTTTTATGCTTGACACTCGTAGAACTTGTTCTTGCGCAATCAAAAACACGGTGATGGGAAAGCAGAATGTTTCACAAAATTTCAGTGAGTTCGTCATCTGTCAGGTTCAGATTTGAGGGTCGGGAGTATTATAACAGAGCTGATTACATATTCACACTGCCCACCCATTCGCCCAGTTTCTTTGAACTGGAATAAAAATGCAAAGCCCACCTTCACTGCCAAGTGATGGTGAAAGGTTCAGTTGTCATTTCTAAAACCATTTCAGCCATTGCTGCAGCTGAAAAGAAGAAACCATTGAACAGCACCTTCAGGGCTCTAACACAGGTCAAGGTGAAACCTGGAAAGTCAAAGAAACATGCAAACAAATAATTCCAAGAATATATGCACATAATCAGTGACCTCCTCAAAGAAGGAATACATACATAACTACCATGCAAAAAGGATGAAGCGCTAAAGAACTTGTCTTTTCTTCTCATTCCCTCATTCAAACTCAAAGAGTTTGGGGAGTTTGCAAGTGAATTTCCAGTTTAGAATAAGCTTTCTGGCATAGAGGACAACCTAGATGTCTGTGAGGTGAGTCCAGTGGCAGAACCCCGAGCCAGGCAATGCAATGAGAGTGTGAGGTATTAATTCTGAGTCTGGCTCAAACCTTTTCCATTACAAAACAAAGACCAAAAATTTATGATCAGCCAAGTTTGCAACTCATGCAGGTAGCACCACCAGCTGCAAAGTGAGTTATTCTGCTCAGTGAACTCAGTGTACAGTTTTGAACTGCATTAAATTGTTTCTAATGAGAATACATTAAATCCGGTGCCCCAGTACCCAGATGCTGCTGTCTTTGAGTGCTTTCCACCTCATTTACATCACAATAATAGTAATTATGTTACAAGAAGGTCAGGATAATATTTCCATATTCATGGAGTTCAAATGTGAATGAATCTTACGGTGATTGAAATATCAACTGACATTAATTGGTGCTACCTTTTATACAGTTAGTCCCTAAGCATATTTCTCATGTGTGACCACTAAATCAAAGCTTCATTAGAGAAACAGCTGAGTAAACCCCAGCAGTTGATATACTGACATGCAACTAATTCAAGCTTGCCAAGACACCTGCCTTTGATTATACTCCTGTCAGAGTATTACACTACTAAATAGGAGGAAAAGCCACAGAGGTACCAGCTTTTTCCACCGACTGCTTCTAGACCCATTTATTCAGTGAAAAGGAGTAATGATAATAAAGATGCACTGGCCTGGGAGAGCCACATTGCTTTGACAGAGTTTCAAACTATTGAAAAGTAGACAGGAAATCAGACTGAAGTAGCCAAGAGGATTATACGCCTCAGCAGTGGGCAGCTACACCGATGGCATGTTCCTGGCTTATTCCCTGCTCAGCTTTCTAGCCCTATTACATATTCAGTGCCGGGTAATTTTCATGTCCATTTTGAATATGAGGAGCAAGACGGGAAATTATGTTTCAACCCTGAGCAGAATGCCAAGAAAGAAATTTTAATGTGCAAAGAACACTGTTGTGATAATTTAGCTCTTATTCAAATTAGAAGAATAGAATAGAATAGAATAATCCTTTAATTGTCCCACAAGAGGAAATTTGGTTGTAACAGCAGCCAAAAAGACAAATATACAAACAAACAGTACACAGGACACGGAACAGAAACAGAAACAGAAACAATTTTTCTTACATATTTACATTAAGGACAATGGTTACTATAAACAGAGAGTACTGTACAGTTATTAAATTAAATAAAAATAATTACAGGTAAGAGGCAAACCAGGTTGTAGTGCCAATTCCAACTACTTGCTCCAAAAGTAAATTACAGCTCATGTTCATTCTCCAGAGCTCATTTACAGTTTTATTGTATCAACGGTTGGCTTTAATATGGCAAAAAATAGGAAGAAAAATAACAAAGTTGAACTAAGGTTTACACTTACACTAGACAGAAAGTACCACCAAAGTGACCAAAATGAAAGAGATAAAAATGTCAAGACAATTCAGCTTTCAATGCATCTGTGATTTATGTTATTTTATATCTCTACATAGTCACCTTTTAAAAAAATATATTTATTTTTGCTGCTGTTTTTCATGCTATTGAAGATTTTAGCTCACTGAATTGATAGACCCAACACTTCACTCAGCCTGTGATAAAAATGAGTGATGTTTGTTTTGGAGCTATTTGCTATACTTGTTCAATATATCAACCATCTCCTCCCTTTTGGCATTTTATTGCCTTTATCACTGGATTTTGCATATGTGAGACAACACCTCACATACTTTTGTAGCACCAAATGATGCAGAGAGGAAATTACCATTGTAGGCTGGATGTGAAAGGATGTGAAATATTGTAAAAGTAAAAATAGTTGAAATACACCAGCACAAGTGTGCACATAGAAATATTGCTTTGACCACAGACAATATGAGAGAGTCAGAGTCAGATTGATTTCTAATTGAAATGAAAGTTGTTGTTTTTTTTTTCATTTTCATCTTAATAATAATTTAAAAATAACTGTGCAAATATGTGTCCTGAGGCACTTCAAAAACATTTGCTTCTAGAAAGGCGTTGCTTTGACTTAAAGAGGAATTCACTGAGATGTATATGCTACTGCTAACTAGCTAGCAACAGTAGTTAGCCAAGACAAGCTACACCTTGTGTGATCCTGATCAAACTGTCAATAAGGATATTAATATAATAGAATAAAAGCAGAATTATAAATTCACTAATTTGTGTGTATCAACATTTTAAGATATGTGCACATAAATATTTGTTCTCACTTTAATTTACCTCTCATTTTAAGAGTGCAAATGATTAGCAAAACAACTATGGTGGCATTTTGAAAAAAATTGGGATTCATCACATCACAACCAGGAAGTAATTC